ATCAACAAAGCGTGCTTCATCCCAATACAGCGTCGGATTATAAATTTATGGGCCAAGATTCGTTCCCATTGGAATGCCGATAATTTGTTTCCGAAGCGTGCCATCTCTCGTGTATAGAAAAGTGTTTTGTACAACAAAGCGAAGACGTTGGAGTGAATGAGAAACAGAAAGGGTACCAGGGTCTGGATCAGTTGTCCATTGGCCACAACTAGGTCCTTGAATAACCATGTTGAGGGCAACGCAGCATGAATGTGTGCGAGCTTGCCGAAGGGCATAAACATTAGCTTCATCAACAACTTTTGCCACATTATTCAGAATGCGGTCATGAGGAAGGTTGGTGTACATCGTGGTAAAATCAACAGTGCGAGGAGAGAGGCCACGAAGAGACGATGCATTGTTTTTCAGGTCAATCGCCACTTCATCGGCACTCTGAACGATCCAGCACCGTCGAACACCAACCTGTTGATAGAGCTCAGTGTCTTTCTCGCGAAGAGTAGAGATCACTCCTTGCAAAGCAGCGTTGAGATACGACGAAGTAGTCGTTGTGCTAGCCAAGGGTTTGTGAGGAGGTCGTTCATGAATGGTGCAAGTTGTTGGACGAGGGCGAGCACGCGGGGGAACAACACTATTATTTTGTGTTGTGACTCCAAGAATGCTGCGAAGAGCTGAAGGAGACTTGTGAGTTTTGAGTACATAGTAAAGGTAAGGTAGGGTATGAGTGTGGGTGTAAACCCAATGGTGATTCCACACTGCATGGTGTCAGGACATCAGCAACGGACTCTTGAGAACGAGTATAAGTGGAACTGTCCAAATGGATAGAGAGATGAAACAAATACCAATTCTTGCAGCAAATTGCCAAATTGTGTGATGTTTTGTCCACAGGGACAATGAAAAAGTGTTGTTGAAGATGGTGCAAGGAGGCATGTGTAGCACGCAGTGAACATGGCTGGCTCACATGATTGGAGAACGAAGATGCATTGGATTGACAATGCGCAAGGATTGCAGAACGCCAACTGTTAAGCTTCTGAGAAAGAGACGAGAAAGAAGCAGATCAAGAATGTATGGCCAACAACCTTTTGTAATTGGCAATGTACTCGTCTAGTCCAATTGCCAGTGCCTGGAGCACATCGACAGTTTCCCCGTATATATATTTTTCCCTTTTTTCTGTTTTTATTTCCTTTTTCTTAAACCTTTTTAATGTGTATGTGTGTGTGTGTGTGTGGTAGTGTGTTTGTGTGTCTGTATGTGTATTTGAGAGAGAGAGAGAGAGAGAGAGAGAGAGAGAGAGAGAGAGAGAGAGAGAGAGAGAGAGAGAGAG